AAAGCATGGGGAAAGTCAGTCCCAGAAGGCATAGCCAAGGACATATAGATTCAGGCAATGTCCAAGGCTAATCAGGCTGCTGAATAATGACTTGTTTGTGGATCTCTTCCAAAAATGCAGATCACACACAGAAGGACACTTATTTCAAGTCCTTCAGCAGAAAAAAATGCACATAGTATCCAGTCCTCCAGTAATGGCTGCTTGCAAGGCAAACATGCCGATCCTGATCCTCCAGCTACTTCCCTGATGTCAGAAAGACATTTGACTCAGCCTAACATGATGCATGTGGGCTACTTGGAGGTCATTTGCAAGATGCTACAAGCCCTGCCGAAAAACGTGTACGGAAAAGCAAGGCTGGAGCTGAGAGCACAGAGTCGAGCTGACATCAGTCACATCACAGCAACTTCAGGGCACTCAGGCAGCAGGTGGCCTCCCAATACATAGATTTTGGTTTTTTTGGAGGTTATTTATTGATTGGAGGGGTACCTTGACTGTGTTCAGGCTTCAGAGAGCACCCAAGATTGTTCTCCAGAAGAGCTCCAGCTGGACCACCTTTCAACACGTGGATAAGGAGGTTCTGTAACTCCAGCCTTAGGGCTGCTCTTTCACAACAACAGAGGCTGGGTTGGACAGCACAGGTGTGGATGGACATATGAATGTCTCCCACCATGGCTAAATGCTGGAATAGGATACATAGACCATGGCATCCCACGGAGGAGTCATGCTGGCATGACAGCAGGCATCCTCTGCTTGGGAAACTGTGCAACAATTACCCAAAGGGATCATAAAGCAGATTCAGCAGCTGTGGGAAGTGGCTTCCACTCTGGAAGGGACAGGAAATCTCCTTTTTCATTAAAAACCAAGCCATTTCAAACCATACATATGCCAGGGCATGCTCTGTATTGTGGTGACATGAGCTCTCAGGAAAGTTGCTCCACAGACTGCTTGACATACCAATTAAAATTCTCAGGCAGAAGATTGTCTTATTGACAAAAGAAAACCCAAAAAACAAACAAACAAACAAACCCCACAAAAACAAAAAAAAGCCCACCAAAACCAAAAACCAAGCAACCAACCAAAAAAACCACACACGCACAAATAAAACCACTCCAAAAAAACAAAACCAAAAACCCATCAGGAAAGAGCTGTGTGAAAAAGATGGCAAGGCACAGAAGGGCTACCCATTCTTTTGAATGCTGTCCTGTCAGAATCACAGAACCACAGTATCAGATAGCTTGGAAAAGACCTCTGAGATCATCGAATCTAACCCATGACTAAACACTGCCATGTCACCTAGACCATGGCACTAAGTGTGCCACATCCAGTCTTCCCTTAAACACCTCCAGGGACTCCACTGCCTCTCTGGGCAGCCTGTTCCAATGTCTCATCACCCTTTCTGTCAAGAAATTCTACCTAAGAAGAATTCTGCAGCAAAGGCTGCGATGTGCTCGCCCACCGGGGCAGGGGGACACGGAACAGGAGACGGAGCAGGCGACGATGTCCGGCCGCCGCACGGGGGTTAGGACGCCGGAGCCACGTCTGCTGAACTGGGTTTGGTGTGAGCCGCGGATCATCAGGGGAGCTGCCGCTGGGGCAGGAGTCCCAGGGACCCCGAGAGGGGTCGGGGACAATGCGAGGGCCGGTGTGGCGCCCGTGCCGAGGGCGGTGCCGGGCGGGGGCGGCCGCTGGGGGAGCGGCGGGGGGTGCGGGGAGCCCATAAAGCACCGCCCGCTGGGCTGGCGCCGCGCACAGCCGGGCTGGGCGGCGGGCGTACGGCGGGGCGAGCGGGGCGCAGCCATGAGGGAGATCGTGCACATCCAGGCGGGACAGTGTGGAAATCAGATCGGGACCAAGGTGAGCCTGAAGGGGAGCCGCCGCCTGCCCGCCGCTTGCGGACCCTCTGAGTGACCGGGGGACGAGCCCGATGGTTCCCCGGGGCTGCTGGGCCCCTCCGGGGCTGCTGAATCCCTCCAGGGCTGCTGCTCACCCGGGGCTGGGCTGTGCTAGCCGCCCCCGTTCCCCGCCGCCCGTGCCCCGAGGAGCCGCTGCCGAGCGGCGCCGGGCGCGCCCGGGGCACCGCGCGTCGCTCCGCTCCCCGTGACCATAAAAGGCCTCGGGAAGTACCGAAACCAAACGGGACAGCTTTTTTTTTTTTAGAAAAAAGAAGTTTTAAAAACTGCTTTTATGTTTGAGCCGGCCGAGCTGTGGCTGAGAGCGGGGGTGGGCGGCGGAGTCTGGGCGGCCCCTCCGGGCGGGTTTGGATGCCGGTGCCCGCCCGGCTCCCGCTGCGGCGCGGGCGGGGAGGGGCGGCGGGAGCGCCTGGAATCCGGCAGCTGCCGCGGGACCGCCGCCGCCCCCGGCCTGAGCGCTGGGCAGGGCCCCCGGGGCTCCGCAGGGAAGTTCCCAACCCACTTCTCGCTTTTCCTCCCTTAGTTTTGGGAAGTGATAAGTGATGAGCATGGCATTGACCCAGCCGGAGGCTATGTCGGTGACTCAGCGCTGCAGCTGGAAAGGATCAATGTCTACTATAATGAATCATCTTGTAAGTGTGGGACGGGGAGGGTGTGGGACAGGGGGCTCCGTGGGAAGGGGCACAGGAATCAGAAGACGACGGGCTCGTAAAGCCATATTGCTTTACGAGCATAACATCTGGCCACACTCCTCACATGCTGCCAGCCCCCCAGCTGAGCCCAGCTCAACAGAAAATATTATCTACTTTTGTACAAAGTAAATTAAGATGGCTGGGTGCTATCTCCCCCGACACAGAGAAGTGGCACAAGGGGCTGTCTTTAGGGTCTGGAGGTGGAGGTTTGTTTCTTACTTAACATTAAGGTAGGCGTTTGCTCTTCAAATGTGTAATTACTTCACCAAATGCATTTCTTCAATTACTCCAAATTAAACTGTTGGTTATATGAGCCCGCATCTGTAGTACTCTCTCTTTAATTTTCATGAATGAGAGGGTTGGGCCACAGGTAATAGAGAACTGTTTCATTAATAAGATGCCGAAAGGCATCCAAGTCCTCAGAGTCCTCTGCTGTTGAAAGGTGTTAAGAGTGTAAATGGGGATCTGGAGTCCTTTGGTCTGTGGATGTGAACCTGCAAGTGCGAATGTTTCATCTTTTGTCCAGCTGGGGTTACTTCATATTATTTGCCTGAGTTTTCTTGAACAATTTCAACTTGACACAGATTGTTTATTTTGTGCTTTGTGGTGGATGTGTTGACTACTACTGTTTGCCATGTACACCAAGTAGCTCTTTCAGTGAAGAAGAATCCTTCCAGCATAAAAGCTTGTGGAGATGTGTTAGGGTAACTTGAACATAAGCACTTCACTCAGCCTGATAGTCACAGAAAAGATTACCTACTTTCTTACAAAGACCAACTAAAACAGCTTTTCTAATGAGAAAGTCCCTAATATCTCTTGTTAATAAAAAGCTAAAAAAAATGTAAAATCTGTAGAGCCCAAATTATATCAGGTCTGTTTTTGAAGCTGAATTGATTTATTTATTTTCCCTTTTTTATAATTTATTCCTGTGGAGGTGGGTTTTTCACCACCATGACTTTCTGTATAGGAAGTACTTATATATGTATGAACTATATATTAGACTAACAATACAAGACATAATATATTTGTGTATTAAAAGCTATAACTGTGTTAGTTTATATCTGAACATTAAGGACGTGCTTACTTTTTATTGTAGCCCACAAATTTGTACCAAGAGCAGTCTTACTGGACTTGGAGCCGGGAACCATGGATAGTGTGCGGTCTGGTCTTTTTGGTCAGCTCTTTCGGCCCGATAATTTCATCTTTGGTATGTGGATGTTTCTTTTTTAAAAGCAGAACTCTCCAACAGCTGTTTGATTACCAAGTGAATGGCCAAAAAGCATTCTATCTCCTTGTTGCAGAGTGATCCTACTGAGAAATCCTGATAGCTATCAATGGAATTGCAATTATCTGAAAGCCACTCAAAACATCCTGTTAACTGAAAAAGTTGTTCTTCTGTTGTTTGTTCCTTCAGTTAGCAAACCACTGGAAGTTTCCTATGGTATTCAGATACGGTACATTTGTTTTCCACACATATGAGCTCCAGAGAAATCCTGAGGCCTCTTCTTCACAAAAAAAATGCATAGAAGTTCTTCAGAAAATGGAGGGGGGAGGGAAAACCTCAACCACAAACCAGCTAGACTACTCTTCACTTAAATTCACATTAAATGTTTGAGTATGGAATTTTTTTTAGGCTGTGTAATTAAACCTTTTTTCAGGAGATCCTTTCAGTATAGTAACAGTGGAAGAAGATCAGCTGTAATATGGAAAACACATGTAGCCAGTTACTGGGTTAATTTCTAGCACAATGAGGAACAGTCTGAGAGTATGTGGAGATGATCTGGTTTCACAGTGTTCCTTCAGAGGGTTGTTTCTACTTTTACTGCTTAACTTTGGACTTCTGTAGTACTTTCCACCTAAGCTTAAAAATGCATGTTACCCTTTCAGAGTATCCTTACAAAGTACTGAAGCATTATCATTCCATTTGCACTGAAGGAGAAACAGCATGTGGAAGTTAAGTGAGCCACTTTCTGAAACAGGAAATCTGAATGAAAGCTACCACGAGAACTTTCATGTCCTTTTAGTTTCCAAGTCTGCACTTGCCACAAACACATTTCCTCCTGACTAGGCAAGCTTAGGTTGGAACTTAGTTTGGTATCTTGTGTTAACATAAGGAAGGAACAATGCCAGGGACAGACAGAGGAAAGATAAACACGGTTTGGATGGTATAAAACAAACTTAAGTCTGGGTTGTTTGGGTTGGAGAGGGGAGTAAAAAAGCAATACAGAGCTCCTTTAAGGCTTTGACTTAAATCTTTTATGCTATACATATTGTTCTCCTGTCAGCTCCATGGCAGTGATGTTAAGGGTCTCTTCCAAAGGAGCTGTAAGTTAAAACATGTAAGTTAAGAAGTAATCTTAGGGAGAAAAGCCATAGACATAGGCAGCTTTATGAAGTCTGTTTCTGTATTCAGGTTTTTCCTTTCATTTCCTTTCACCTGCATGAACCGCACGAGCCCTCTGAAAGTGAATTCACCTGACCTATGGAAATACCTGAACTGGAGCTTTACAGTTTGGCACAACACCAGTAAAACCAGAGCAAAATCAATTCAGAATGTCTTCAACAATAGTCCAGTTTGCTGTACTCCCTTCCTGCCAAGATAACAATGAACCCACAGCATGTGATTGACTCGTATCTGACAGAGGCCTCTGCCAGTATCAGGCACTGTCCTCCCAACCTGCTGAATAATGTAGAATAACTGAGCGCTGAAGTAATGATCTTCTGTGTCAAAAGCCAGCAAAGCATTTTGTTTTCTCTTCTAAAAATCTGGCCTGGGCCCACAAAGGATTTTGTGGCAGAAGCTGGCAGTCCCATACTTGCTGAACCTCAGGCTGTATGGGCACATTCTGATGGGGATGTTTTTCACCTCCGCTTGTATAAACCTGCATGTGCCCATGTCTCCACATCAAGTAACCATGGACCGCCAATCAGGCTTTCTTCCAGGTATATTGAATACATGGTCACACACTCCAGATACAGGAATTTTATATCAAGCCAGCAAGAGTTTCAACATGGATGCAAAATAATCCTTGTACTTTAATGCCTGTGTTGACAAGGTAGTCATTTAAAAGGTGAAGAACTGCAGGTGGAATGCCCTTGCTGTATAAGAGCAGCAGGCCTCCTGGCCTTCTGAGCACACCAGGACAATTGCCCACCAGGAGCTGCTGTGAACTTTGATGTGTCTCCTCCTGTTAACCAGTTTTCACTTGCACATTTTTGCATTTCTTGTTCTTTTCTTGTGTACACCATTGCTAGATTTTCTACAGAGATACCACTCCAATTTAATTTGTATGAACTGATGGGGGCAACCACAAAATAGCTGTCTGGCAGTCAGAAGCCTGGTGTGAACAGCCCTGCTGCAGAACTTGCCTATAAGTGTTAATGTGCAAGCTACTGAGCTATTTCACCAAGTCTATCTTATATTTTGAGCAGTGAAGAGAGTAGAAGAGTGAAAGAAGATTGTAGGAAACAAGCGCCATTGTGCCATTTTAGGGATTAAACAATCAATTGACTGTTAGACAAATGGCTTCTCTGCATGTGCAGCTCAACCTGAACGTGGGTGATACCCTATAGCATGTTGGTGAAAGAAATAGTGACAGAAGGATCTGGAGGTGCCAGGAGTGGAGATAAGTTGTGGGATTGCTTCATGTAGGCTTCTTTAGATCCTGGCAAATGGCAGATGCAGGATGCTGGAGATGGGCTTCCAGGATTGGCAAAAGATTTGCCAGATCCTGAGTTCTGTGGGACCAGGCTCATTTTCCACCTAGATAGTTTAGTCATGGTGAAATTTGATCATTTCTGTGTGTTTTACTTAGATTTTCAGAGGTCAGGTAGGTAGGTACCTGATAGGTGGAGGGCATCCAGTAGAGTTTCACAGGATCGTGATCATGATTTCCACATTTGTGGCAGTCTTGTCAGGGCCATGGCACCTCCAGACTGTATTGTCTTGGGGTAAGAAGTCTGGAGCTTCCAGGGCATGTCTACATTCCCTGTGCTGTGGTAGTCTTACAGTGCTGTAGAGCCAGTGCTTCTGGAAATATGACTGGGTGTAGAAGCAGGAAATCTCCAATGAAAACGCTGGACACCCTAGGCACATGGTTGACAGTGGATGGAGTGTAGTTTTGCCACAGGAGTAGCTGATAGTTGTCCTGAAGTCAGAATTTACCTCCATTAGGAGATAAATGCCTCCTGTGTTTTGGAGTGATGTTTGCTTATTTCTGTGCATCCTCATGTGCTACCCTACCTGTAGTAGGGGATCTGCTCAAGCAGGCTGCAGGTGCTTACAAACATATTTAATTCTGGAAGGATATTACGTTGTGCTTTGCCCAGCTGGACAGGAAGTGCTCAGCTCCCTAGGCTCAAAGAAAGAAAAATATAGCAACATCCAGAACAATGCATGAACTAACCAAATACAGCATGAGGAAACTGCAGTGTATGCAGTGGAAAAAAAGTGCATAGGATTTCAGAAGTGTCCCAGCCAGCAGCTTCCCTGGTTCATATGTTTGGCACCAACATGGTGCTGTGGGAATTGAAATGAGACATGGTAATAGGAAGGGAGGGGAAGGTCTTGGGGAATAGCACAAAATTTGCTGGCTCCGTACTTAATTCTGAAACTATTGCTCTGTCTGAATACCACTCCCAGGAGTGAGTTCAGGGGCACAATGTATGTGTGTAGTAGTCACTGTGAGGAACAGGAGTACTAAAAAACAGATTCCCCAAATTAATCCTCCTCGTTATCAATAACAAAATAGAGACAATAGCAAATAATCCACGCTGTTTATCTTGTTAAACTGAGTGGCACATAAAACAAGAAGGGAAGCCTTGGGAAGAAAAGAATGGACTCACTTTTCTGAAATATCAGTCATCCAATTTTTCAAGTCATTTTGCATATCCTAAAGAGTAGTGAGTTTGTAAGGAAATCAGTAAAACCTAAAAGGCACTTGTAAGTTTTTGAAATAATGTCCCTGAAGCTTCTGTTGATCACTATTTTCATTCAGGCTAGCTAACCATGAATTTAAAAAGATATAGTTCCTGATATAACAAGTTAAATAAGATTTTGAAGCCCAGCTTTTTTTCTTGAATGACAGTGTTTTCTCTTTGACTCGTAAGAACAGTCCAAGAACCTCTCATTTTCACTGAGATATCTGTGATTTAGCTTTGCATGCATCATGGTCCTTCCAGACAGAAAGCATTTAGATATTAAACAGTCATCTTGTGTTTACAGAATCATCAGGATTGGGAGTGTGAAAGTTTTCAAAACAAGGAGTTAATGCCTCTTTGCATTTATGGAAGCTAAAATGACAAAAGAAAAAAAATTAAAACAACCCCCCCAAAAAACCAAACAACCCAAAAAAGAACCCCAAACCACTCAAAGGCATTAATGAAAACTGCCAGAGGCTATATAGAAAGTTTATGTTGATACTTCCAGAGATATTTGTAGGCAAAACTGAAGAGCACAGTTATCTACCTGACAGATTTCTAGCAGCTTTTGTTACAGATGTGAGTCCATTCAGCGTGCAAATGTCAAACCTTGCCAATAATTGTTTATATTTTCTTTCCCTGTTGTACCTTATTTTAGGACAAACTGGTGCAGGAAACAACTGGGCTAAAGGACACTACACAGAAGGGGCGGAGCTGGTTGACTCTGTGCTTGATGTAGTAAGAAAAGAGAGTGAACACTGCGATTGCTTGCAAGGATTTCAGCTCACTCACTCCCTGGGAGGAGGGACAGGGTCTGGCATGGGAACCCTACTCATCAGCAAGATCCGAGAGGAATATCCAGACAGGATAATGAATACCTTTAGTGTCATGCCTTCTCCCAAGGTTTCTGACACAGTGGTGGAGCCATACAACGCTACGCTTTCAGTCCACCAGCTGGTTGAAAACACGGATGAAACCTACTGCATCGACAATGAGGCTCTGTACGACATTTGCTTCCGCACCCTGAAGCTTACCACTCCCACTTACGGTGATTTAAACCACTTGGTCTCCGCCACCATGAGCGGGGTAACCACATCCCTGCGTTTTCCAGGCCAGCTCAATGCTGACCTCCGGAAGCTGGCGGTAAACATGGTCCCCTTCCCGCGCCTTCACTTTTTCATGCCAGGCTTTGCTCCTTTGACGGCGCGAGGCAGCCAACAGTACCGAGCGCTCACGGTCCCAGAGCTCACCCAGCAGATGTTCGATGCCAAGAACATGATGGCAGCCTGCGACCCGAGGCACGGCCGGTATTTGACAGTGGCCACCGTCTTCCGCGGCCCCATGTCCATGAAGGAGGTTGACGAGCAGATGCTGGCCATCCAGAACAAGAACAGCAGCTACTTCGTGGAGTGGATCCCGAACAATGTCAAGGTGGCAGTGTGTGACATACCTCCCCGAGGCCTCAAGATGGCCTCCACCTTCATTGGCAACAGCACTGCGATCCAGGAGCTCTTCAAAAGGATCTCGGAGCAGTTTTCCGCCATGTTCAGGAGAAAGGCCTTCCTCCACTGGTTCACAGGAGAGGGAATGGATGAAATGGAATTTACAGAAGCAGAAAGCAACATGAATGACCTGGTTTCAGAGTATCAGCAATACCAAGAAGCAACAGCAAATGATGGAGAGGAAGCGTTTGAAGATGATGAAGAAGAGATCAATGAATAAAAAGATTAGGTGCGAGATTTTTCCAGGCTAAACTCTCAAATCTGGATTTCTGATAATTAGGCTTGTAAATCCATACTTAGTTTTAAAAAATAATAAAAAAGGGTGCATGAATTTCAGATGTTAGAAGTGGTCTTCAGAATCTATTTGGATCACTGGGAATATTCAGCATTTCTGGAAATTGGGCCATTTGTATTCGTGAGACAAATGTAATGCATTCAGTTAAGACTTTGGCCTAAGAGTCTGAACATGGAGATTGCTAGTTTGGGATATTTTTTCTTTAGGGTTGTCATCCCTAAAGCTGTAGAAGAGAAGATGTAAAATAGGCATGAAAATCTACAAATTAGAGCTGCACTATTTTCATCCAGTTATGAGTAATAAAATCTTGTGAGCTTGAAGTATTCTGTACCAAATGTACAATACTGAACTGCCAGAAACAAAATTTATTCACAATAAAAGAAAAAATTTTTAGATATTCTGTACAGTAATTGTTAACAGTGATATTTGATTCCAGTCCCCTAAAAATAAAATAAAAATTAATAGTATCCTCTCAAGCAAAAGTGTTCTGGGCAGTCAATGCTACATAAATACTCAGTGAGCTGCAGGCTAGAGGCTGGATTTATGTGATATGACTTCATCACTTGCTGCTGCTGAATAATCACAGATGATATATATGAAATCTCTCCATTTGTGATGTGTTCATCCTGAATCCCTGGAGTTTAAAGTGGCACCCCAATATCTGACTGGTCTTCCTGGCTATCACCAGCTGCTGATGCTATTCCTAACTCTCTTTCACCTAGCCCATGTAGCTGAAATCCAGATAATCCATAGAGCACGGTGGGACAGGGGACATAGGCTGTGTGCCAACAGATCTTTCTACCCGGGTTTGTAAATTCATCACACCTACAGATGCTGTGCATGTCTTGCTACTAAGATAGGTTAAAACAACTGAACAGGTAAAGGTTAAAGTACAAGAGCATTTCTACAGGATACTCAAAACAGCTGGCAAAATGAAAGATGAACAGCAGGTTTATCTGCCCCCTCTAAAGCAAAGAGAAATGTCTCTGCCTAAGCCAGCTGACAAAGTGACTTGTGGGCATTTGCTCTATGTGCATGCTTTATGTTTCTGCTCATATCAATTAAACAGCCCTTCTCCATTAGAGAGTTTCTACCAGAGAACACTCTGTCTACTTGGAGTCTTTTATTTAGGCCAGTTCCTAGGCAACAAAGCAAGCAAACAAAGGAGAAAACCTCTGGAAATCCAAACTTTGAATGTTTCAAGAACTCTTGCTTTTTCTTGTTGCTTTCAGAAGCGCTTTCCAAGCAAAAATGTTGCTCAATATTTAAAAAGGCACTTTGCAAACATAGTGAAATTTCCAAAGGTCTGCTGCCCCTCACAAGATGATGCTTTGTTATTTTGGGATTCAAGGGAACAGGACAGTACTTTAGGAAGTACATAAACCAGGCAACTATTAATCACATAACCTGAAGCTGTCTGCCCAATCCTACTCTACACAGAAATGGAACTAAACTAGTCTTAATTGAGTACAAGTTTTTTGCAGAAAGTGACTTCAGAGGTTGAGACAGTTGCTGGAACATGCCAACTAGACTGGCTTTGGCACAGAGGCAGAGCTTGGATGGGCTTGGCTGATTGTCTTTAGAAGGATCACAGAGGAGTCAGCACATTCACAGAGACCACATTCTTTGCTATGTCTGGTGATCCCTGAAGGATTTATGAATAGCCATAGAGTACCCCTAAATACACATTTTATAAGTGTGAGATGTGGCTGTGTATTAATTACAGCACTAGATAGTTATAAAACAATATACATTGAAGAGAAATTACTGTGCAGGACCATACAAAGCAAAATCCATTGGGAGTAAAGCCATTAAACTTCAAAGTGAAGTTGATTCTTTGTAAATGGTTGACTATTTGCTTTGAAGGGGAGGAGGATGCCTTTAGAGGCTCAGAGCCTGCCATCACACCGCTGTGGCACAGGCTTTCCAGTTAAAGCACTAGCATATTTTCTCCTGAATGAAATAGAATCAACCATCTAGTTGTGCGTGAAACTGCATTTTGTTGTAACATAGATTTTGTAACTAGGTCCAAGTCATAAATTCTGGTATTACTGTGAAAAAGAGAAAAAAAAAAAAAAAAGTTAACATTTTAAAAATGCCAGAAATGTTGGCATAGCTAAATAATAGTGTTATTAACTTGGTGAACCAGCCTGCTCCCTACTGCATTTCATACACTTGACTCAAACTGCAGAATGCAGACTCTGAGGCTGTGGAATTCAGACCTCACATTGATCCTGCTTTGATTCACTCATACTTGCACATGTGTTTACTTGCAACTGTTTGATGTGAATTTCTAGAATGTGTGGAGGTGGAAGAGGCAAACTAGTGTTCTCTTTAGAAAAAAGAGACAGCTCTTCCATCTCATCCTAGGGGGAAAAAAACCCTTCCCAGGAACGAACCCAGGAACCTGTAGTAGGAGGATCATCAGAGGATCAGCTTGTGCGTAAGCAGTAACAGAGCCACGGGAAGCACAAACACTTCCTGTTTCTTTCCAGTCAAACAAATCTAATCATCTTCCTTTCCTGAGATACAACTGAAAATTGTTTTAGTAGCAAGTTTAGTGAGAAATTCCTTCAGTTGCAGTTCCTTTCAAATAACTTCCTGCCTTTTCCTTGGAAGCTTCTTTCTTATTTGGCAATCTCCAGGTGAGTCCCACCTAGCTTTGTTACTCTTCTCAAATTCCTCACCTGTGTGTTTTTCATTTCCCTTCTAGTTTTTCAGCCTAGTCTTTGGCACCTTTTATTTCTGTGCCTGGTCCGTCATCTTTTTCTCTTTTTTAAATGCTTTGCACCTGGCCACAGAGTAGTATCTAGCAGCGGGCCGCAGGACAAGCCAGACCCCCAGGAGAACTAGAAGTGCATCTCCCACTGCTCAGACACAAACACGTGTCAGCGCTAGGCTGAGGAGAAAATACGGCAGCCTACATCACTGACATCACTTGGAAACTGGGACTGGGCAAGGTGTTGCCTGGGAAGAGGGTGTGTCATCAGGACAGAAATTGGAATTTAACTCTATAGGTCAGCTCCTTTGCAAAGCCACTCTGGTCAAAGACAGCAAGGGATGGGGCAGGCTCTCAGCTCACAGTCAGAAGAGTCCTTGTAAATGCTGCCTTAACCGAGCCACCTCAGGCTCTTGCTTTCTCTGCATTCCACAATCACTGCTCAGATTATGCTCTCCATTCCTTCTCTTGCACTGTATTCCTTAGGAAAATGTGGTCACCCCTTGAGAACAGTCAGACTGGGAAAGAGGGTCTAGACCTGCTCCTTCTCCCTGCCTTGGGAGGAGCAGGGAACTCAACAGCTCTCTTGGTGCTGCTCAAGCCCCTGGTAGCTGAAGCAGCACTGCTCAGTGTGCTTGCAACAAAAATTAATCCGGCATAATTGGCAGCCATGGCACAGACTAAACTTGATTTTCTTGATTTATGTTCAACCACCTGACATCCTAAATCTGGGAGTTGAAGGAGGCTAGCAATCCTCTTCAAAGAAGCAGCTTAGGTAAATAGCTATTTTTTGGTTGCTTTTCCGTATTTTGATTCCAAATTCCATCAAATTCTGCAATTTTTGGCACAAAATATTAAGACCAGGTAACATAAGGCTAAGAAAGCAAGTTCATTTCCTCTAAAACAGAGGCAAAAGTAAAGGAGAGGTAAGGCCATTTTCATATACTTATTAATTGCATGCTGCAACTGAACAAGAATGGAAGTTATTAGTAAATACAAACAGGGAGTAAGAGAAATCATCTGGAGATGATTTTTTTAGAGTCTGGTAGTGCCATTGTGAAGAGTCAGGTTAAGGATTTTGGGGGTTGGGTGTTTGATTGCTGAGTTTTCTGTTGGTTTTATTTAGCAAGGAATGAAGAAATGCAGAACTCTGATCTTTATAAGCACAGCTAGTCCTCAGCACTGGCTACAAACTGAATACCCCGGACAAGAAGTGTTCAGCTAAATTAGAGGATGAGAAAACAAACAAGGCATTAATGCAGAATACATGTAAGATGTAACACTAGAGCATAAGCACAGGTATGTCACTGCTTTATCATGTGCGCACCATTTGAGTTTTATAGAAGAATTTTGCTATTGAAATTCTAAACTTTGCATTCTAAACTTTGACTCACAGTAATTAAGGAAATGAAATATATTTTTTTCAAGCTGCTTTCCTGTTTATCATTCATTCTTCACGAACACAATAGGGATAAAATTGAAGTGCTTAACAAATAAAAAGGCCCAGTAGATACACCCAAAATAGCTGTATTTGCTCTATTTCCCTTATTCCTCTTCACTGTAAAGCCAGGTAAGATCACAGATGGATAAAGTTCTATCATGAAGAAAAATAAAATTCAAAAGAATAATTTCCATAAATAATTTACCTTTAAGAACCAAGGGTCTAAACATTGAGATTAACTTTTTCCTTTTTGTCATCCTATTGGTTTCCAGTATGTTGCAATATACTGATGGAATCAGTCACTAGTTATCCTTTTAACCTGCCCTCTGACTCATCACCCTTCAAGGATTTTTGGTCCAGCAGATTGGTTCATTTTCCTTTGCCCCCATAACCACCACTCCACCCTCCAACCAAGCTTCCCTTTTCTCTGCTGGGAGGGGGAGACAGGCCATTAATTTCTGAACAGCTGAATTCTCCACCTAATGAATCCTTAGCATGTAGCAAACAATGAGAAGCAGATTACCAAGACAACTGTATTCAACTAAGCAGGGGAAAAGCCCCATAGCTTTAGCTTAAGCAAATGAGTAAGAAACTCTGACAAATCTGATTTATCATCTTTGGTTCTGGTTGCTGCTTTTTGTATTTGTGAGCACAACCCTGTTACCCTGTTTTAACAGAGAGTTTTGTATTTTTCTGAATTCCATACCCAGAAACCAGCAATAAAAAAAAAAAAATCAGGCAAGCTTTGTTCAGAAAAGTCCTGTTTTTATTGACTCAAACTGTATTTACACGACACATTCATATGTTCAATATTTTACAGAACTCTGTAAAAAACTGACTGGTAGAACTGCAAGAGCCAAACAGTTTCAGACTTAAATTAAGACACTGAACCATGAGTATATTTTAAGATATTTAAGCAAGTGTCCAGTTTCACTGTCAACTTACATGGCAGTTCTCTGTAGACAAACTCTAAAATCAAAATGAGGTGAAGGGGAAAAGACCAGATGAACGAGCTGATAGTTTTGCAAAGCTAGTACTTTGTACAACCAGACTTTCACATTTGACAATGCATTTTGTATGATTCTTCTTTTTGGAAACAGGTCACATTACAGGTATAGTTTAGATAAATAATCGAAAAACCCTTTGATTTTTTAAGCTTACAGACATTTGGAAAAAAGGAAAAAAAACAAAAAAAAAACCAGTGCCACAAAGTTTGTGCATGAATCTGAACTGTT